ATATTGATAGAAGATAAAACGTGTAATAATAGGTACTTGAAATATCAAAGTACAATTTCTAATCTTCATTTGCACACAAATCAGTTCTAAATGAGAAATATAATAAAAAATACGTTAAGTGGTACGCATTCAGCAACTTTCCCCTACTCATTACTTAAGTTTACATATTAACTTGTACATATATATGGAATTCTGTAATATATTATATTTCAATTTTCTATTTCAGATATATTACAAGTCCTATTATATATTACTATTGGTAATACAATTTGTAAAAATTCTGTTTAATTTCAATACTTTAAATAGGCAATTTTATACAATAGTTTACTAAGGAATAACATAAAAAATTATATAAAGTTATAACGAATTTAATGAATTATACAGATAAAGAAAAATGAAGAATAGTTGAAAAACGAAAAAGTTACGAACATTATGTGATTACTGATTGAAAAGAAAGATATGGATCTATAAATGTAAAAGCAAGAGATATTCAGAAAAATTGCAACCATTATGAAAAATTATAAACAACTTTATATAATGATAATAACTGTTAGATTTATTATATAAGTACAATATACGGCAAAATTATAGTTGACATATTTACTCACTATCTGTTTACATATGTATGAACATTCTTTCGAAAGACTTTATCGGTAATTGCACTTTGGAGCATGCGTAAAACAATTAGTGCTGTAATGGTACATATATATTAATCAATCACAAGTTGAACCTTTTGAACAAAATTTGTTCATCTAAATTTTTTTCATTAATTTTTTAAGTAATATTCATTTGTACAAATATTTATTAAAATATCCTTTAACTATTAATTCTTACATTTTAAATGACGAGGAAAGCTGAAAAGTGAATCAATTTCCAGCAGATTCATGATTTGAGGATTCATGTCAAAGTAAGAACCCAAATGTAGAGATTCGTATTGATTCTGCACTATGAGGAAATCCATAATTTTAGAATCATTGAAGATCTAAAAGCAATGTTTCTTAATTACACAAGAATGTAAAGGTGAAAGACTGTCCTCAATGGCATGTGCTGCTGCTTAATGTTGTGTGCACATATATGCGCATTATTGTCAAAATCATATTACGAAGTTCATAATTCAGTTTAGAAATAAAAAATGAATGTAATTCTTAAAATAAAACTCCATACAATTTTAAAAGTTTAAACGATTTAAATTGAAAAATTTTTAACATTCAATTTAAAAGGCTTTTACGAGTCATTTTACATTGTTATTATCATTCCAGTTTAAATATTTTGTCTAAATATTTTATTGCTATAAGCATCTTCTTAAAAAACAAAAAAATATACGCTTAGTGCTTAAAAAAGATACCAAATATTACATTCCTTTTAATAAAAAACGGATACGAAATAAATGCAATTAGCCGAGTATTTCATAACGCAAGACACATAAAATATATTGAAAGTGACTAAACTGGACAAATGGATTATAGTGAAGAAAAAATTTGGCGTGCCCGGGTCACATTAATTACACTTGTATAAATGTATTATCTCATCACAATATTCTTATTATAAATTAAAATATAAAAATAATATTTACATTTGTATATAAGTGTAATTTATATGTATGTATATGTATATATATATAGTGACTAGTTTGTGGGACATGAAAATATACTCACAAATAACAGACGTGATATAAACTATGGAGAAATAATATGTATAAATAATATTGATAATATTTAGATGTGGAAACATTATATAGATAACAAATTTACAAAATTAGTAAGTAATTTTAATATCTCTTGTTTGTTGAATTATTGTTTTCATGTATTGTGTATGTCTGTAGAATATTGTATGTAATAACTTTTTTATAAATTCGTATTGTAAATAATTGCCGTACTATAAAGACACATTGGTCATAGAATATTTTTATCCAACCTGAGCACGGCAAATTTTCTTCACTACAATTTAGTCAACATTTTAGTCACTTTCAAACTATCTGTGTGGCTTGCGTTATGAAATACTTAGCTAATTGCATTTATTTCGTATTCGTATTTTTTACGAAAAGGAATGTAATATTTGATACCTTTTCTATGCACTTGGCGTAAAGTTTTCCTTCTATTAAGAAATTTTCGCATGTGCTGTAAAAAAAGATAGTAAGTGTGTCAGACTTAAATGTTAAGGAATAAAAATGATAGATATACCAAATTAAATTAAATTTATTATATTACGATGTTAATAAATGTAAGAACCTTAACGATGGTTTCTTCTCCAAACAAAGTAGCAAGACCGTCGTGTAACCAGAATTGAGTCCACCAATTATAACTGAATACGTTACTAAACCATTGATATGCTATTTTGGATGCTATTAAACGTGCGACTTCTATTTGGTGCATAATTGAATCTGATTGTTTATCACATATAAGATTGGCTTCTCTAAAAATTATTCCAATTGTTTTAACATGTAAAGATTGTTGCTTACTTTTTGGTTGACGAAACGTTAATTTCTTTTTACAGATTTAAATTTAATTTGTTTATACTGTTGCGTACAAAACGTTTAATATTTTTTTTAATTTTATATAATTTTTAATGGTAAATTAGGACATTAAAAAATGATTATGCATGTAGTTTTATTTTTTTAATTTATCTTAATTTGATACATGCAATATTTTTCAAAATATCATCTTTCTAATTAATTTATACATATATAGAATATTGGATTATGATTTTGGTGACTCCTAATAAAGCACAACAGGTCACATTTGATATACAAGGTAATTCGCATAAAGTGGCAGGCACAATTGTCAATAAAATTTATAAAGACATATGAAAAAATATTATATAAGTAGATTTTTAGCACGGAGAAACAGATCATATAGATAAAACCATTAATTTGTGCAAGTTTTTAAATCGTTTCATGATTATCTCTACTTTTTCAATAAAAATATGTTTTTTTAATTATTTGATTTTTTAAAATTATTTTAGATATAAAGCTATTATGAGGAATTATTAAAATGTCAATAACACATAAAATATTTTACACTTTATTCTAACGTATTTTGTTATGGAATAATGTAAAAAATACCTCTATCTTATTAATTATTTCTGATACTTATATTTCAATATTTTTATGCACTGCTGATAAAATAAAATTGAATTGTTTTTAGAAATGAATGCAATTGCAAATTCCATATCTACTTTAAAGTATAGATTGTATAAAATTAATAATATCTAGTGTAATAATAGTTATTAACCCTCCCAGAACCAGGTGGAAAGTCAACATCGTTCATATATGGGTATATATTTAAATATATATGCTACTTTTCATCAAAAATATGCTATAATTTAGTATAATTGGCAACAACGCACTCTCCATTTACACGAAACCGGCAACAGGCGCGCGGTACTTTTCGCGAAGTTAGAGAAATTCATCTTGCTGGAATATGTCACACCCCACCTGATTCACGGATTAATAATTGTTTCAATAATTGATTTTTTTATAATTAATTGAAGATTTCTCTTTTAAAAATACATATACGTAAAAATTCAAAAGTTTTAAATATTCAATTGATATAAATAATTTTCTCAATTAACAAATTGTTATATATTTAGAACTATGTATTACGTATGAAAGATGAGCCCCCATTTCGATGTGCCGTCTTGTGGAAAATTTGGAATTGCAACATGATCCATTTTTGGAATATTTATCCCACTGAATTCAGATTTTAAGTGCGACGTAATATCGGTTATAATTCTTTGTGCACACTCCAATTGGACAGAATACTGTACTGAATAACAGATGCATGACCACAAAGTAATGTTTTCGTTAATTTTAAAGCCATAATAATCAGTCACAACTATCGCAACTTGTAAAGTGGACATTGGAGGAGTAATATGGAAATTTGTGCGTAATAAATCACTATAACGATCATAGGTCAGTGACTTTGTTGGCATATTTGATAAAGCTGAATAAAAGCGAGGATGTGATATTGAAATATTAAATGTGGCCTTGAAGTGCGGTTCATCCCAACAAGGGAACAATTGTCTCATTCCATTCTCTTGGATGTGTGGATCGAGCAACAGTCTACAACAATTTCATAATAGTTATATTTGCTTTAAATAACATTAAATAATAATATACTTTTTACCATTTAATTTAATTTATATAACAACATCAAAAATTGCTATAAGAGAATGAATTTTAAGAAAATATGAGAAATAATTATATTATAGTGCATATAATGCATATATATATAATTTCAACTATTTAATATTTACTCACGCTGTGCGATTTCCCGTGTAGAAATTTTTGTAGATACCTGTATGGTTTTCTATAAGATTACCGAAGAATTCTATTTTGAATGTATAGAGCCCGGGGTATAATATATAAGATAAAACAAATTCTAAAATATTCGTGTTATAGTTATAACTGTATTTATTCAATACATAAATTATACCGCTATATGTAGTCAAATTTATATTTTGACGACCTATCAAGATATGTAATTGATGCAATCTTATATACTGAGTCGATTCAAGGATATTAATAGTTGTACTGGTTTTTCCATGAAAAACAAATGATCCATAACTACGATCTAAATTGACCGTCGTGTCCAAAATGAAAGCATTCCTATCGGCATATTGATCTTTTGAAACTGTGTAGTCAAGTATCTCTATATGATAGTGCACGGGTGTCACGTTATAAGGTGAACGTGCTTCCTTTGGAACGCTAAAATTGTTTACTTCTTTACTATTGAGAATAATTATTGCTATGATAAATATTACGGTGCTACTTATATGTGCTACGTTCATGTTGCTCCGGTTGCCGTTCTAAATATATACCAGGAAGTTTTTAATAAATTATAGGATACTAATGATGATCAATAAAAAAGCAATGCACATAGCTGTCTGTGATTACAGAGAAAGAGAGAGGGAGGGGGGAGAGAGAGAGGGGGGGGAAGGTTATCGAAATCGTTATATTATTGTAATTATAATTATATTAATGCAACACTAAACATTCTTAATTTTAGTAATATTTCCAGCAATGTTGTGTTTATGTAAAAGATATTGTTACACCAACGATAAATTCTAAAACGTTTTTATTTCTTATTTTAACAAACATTTTTTATTGAATATGTATATTGCTTTTTTATTGATATTTTAAAGTCATATGAATGTCTTACGAATAACTACAAAAATTTTACTTTGTACTATAATATTTTTTTAAGGCAAGTTAATTTTAAGTCATAAAACATGTACGAATATTTTACAAACAGCAAAAGTTATAGTATATTATATTCATAAAGTACCTAACAAAACAGCATTAAAGTGATCATATTTTACTGCTTTAAAGAAATAAAACTTTTATTGAAAACGTTTGAAGAACATAATTTGAAGCTATCATTTAATTCAGTTTTTACGTACATATTCTTAAACACGTAACATATTTTAGCCAAAAGTCAAATAATGTTTTCACAACTTTCTTATTTCAAAAATAATCTATTGTGCACACTACAAATAAAATATTATCCTTTTAGAAACTTACCCTGTGTAATAAAATTGTACTATTAAGATATAATTTCCACTGCTAATTGCTATGTTCATAACAATTATAACGAAATGAAATATAGATTGTAATAAAACGTTTCCGATGGCTACTTTATCTTTCTCTTCCGAGAAGTCACAACAGACTAATATCATCGACAACGACATACATAATAAATACTTACATGATAAATATAAAATGTCATTTAAACCGTTTCTTTTAATGTACACATTCTATATTAGTTGACGTAATGTTAATCGGTTTTCTTTTCAGTGGAACACAAATTTAATGTGTAAGCAATAATACATGTAGGCAAAAGTAACTCCATTTCTAAAATTTTTATTTGTGCGCAAAGATGCATGTAGGCAATCGAGCTGTAGGCAATAACACATGTAGGCAATCGACTTGTAGGCAAATGAGATGTAGACAAAAGGGGCTGTAGGCACACTGAGAAAAAAATATGATCAAAATTTTAATACATATTTAGTTCAATACTGTCAACTAAACATTTTCTTACAGTAAATAAATACTTGTTCAGTAAAAAGAATGATTGTTAAATCAAATTAATATTTCTTGTATCAAATAAATATATCTTTATATTTAATAAATATTTAGTTGGCAGTTTTTAATTAAATATTTATTAAAATTGATTAAATTTTTTCTCAGTACAATAAATATGTAGGCAAAAGGAGCCCTCTCCATATGTACAATACAATAAACCAGGGAGTCTTTCCGTTTTGGGCATTTATGTTAATTTTTCGAATGTCGATTAACTGCTTCTTCCGTTGCTTCGAAGATGCAATTTTCATGTTTGCCGTATGGCTAATCAGACATCGTAAAGACGCCGCAACACCAACTCTGCGGCGTCTGTGATTCGTACATTGGATTTTATTGTAATTTCTATTTTAATCTGTTGTTATCAAGGTTCCGGATGCTCTAATTCAAAAGAATGGATGTTATATTTTTCTAGAGTGATCAATGAGAATGAATTGGAACTAAATGGTTATTATTTTGCAACAATTGGGACGAACGAAATTATCAAACGCCATTTTGTAGAGAAAACTTTCCAATTTTATTACCACATTTACGAAAAATATACGTAATTATTTAACAATTAAAACATAAAAAAAGCATTAATATGCTTGTGCGCATGAAATAATGGTATGTGTTTTAAAATGTTGTCCATCGGAATCTAAATGAAATTAAATAAAGAATCTTCAAGAAAAATTATTAAATTCTTTACCAATACACAAGGAAAAGAGAATTAGTCAAGGAATTCTATTTTATGCAAAATGGCGCGAACCATGCCGTATACGCATGCATATTTTTGGTCCTATTTTTGTAATGTTTCTATTGTTAACTAATTACACATTTTAAATTTATTTTGAACTATAATGAAACAATAATGCTAATAATATGTAATACTAACAATAAGTGAATATAATACAAGAACGTTAATAATATTAATAACATAGAATGATTAATAATATTTAATTAAATGAAGAAAGACTAATCCAGAAAATGTAGATGCAAGTAAATACGTAATGAACGCTGTATAACATCAGAATGAAAAGTAAAAACTAGCAAAATTTATGTAATGAAATATTCAAGGTTAAACTTAAAACATTTAATTACAGTAGTATGTCACGTTATTTTCAGCTGATTTGAATCACAGGAAAACGTATAATAGGAACTCAAATTAACTTAAGGAACATTTACAAACTCAAAATGTTCTATATGTCTGTTAATTTCGGACAATCGTGTTTGTATCTTATGTTGAATACTTGAAAGTTGATTCTCACTTATGTAGTATCCCACATTTTTCAGTTCATCGGGAAGCTGAAACAAATACATTTTACAATTAAGAGACAAAAGCCTTGAACGGTTAAGGTAGATTTTTAGTGATTTAAAATGTAAATAAATATTTCGGTGTGAATTTTTGTAAGGAAAAGATTGCTAACATTGCAATCTTTCTAAAGCTTTATAATTAGTATTTGCCTGGGTAATCCTTCCACCCCCCTAAGAATTACGCGTATGTATAGAGAACATCATTATCTTAAAATAGTAAAAGTTTCAAAAAAATATTAAGAAAAGACATTTTTAAATAATGTGTTTGCGATACAACCATCTAAAACTGAAAATTAAATTCAGTGCAATTTGCAGAATATGTGTATAAATACACGCTAAATTATTTAAAGACAGCTTTATCATTTCATTGTTGTTATGTACTTACATTACGGTCTAAAAAAAATACTTCATTGAATATTAGAATAAACATTATTCTAAAGAATTAAAAAAAAACAAAGAGACCAGTGTCTTGTAGGAACATATACATTATATTACGGACATTATTAATAAGTTATTAATAAGAATTTTTAAAGAAAGCTAATAAATAAAACGAATATGAAATTTGAATTAAATTTACTTGCCTGTTTCAGAATTGCTATGGAATACACATAATTAATAATATCTGTTAGTGCTGTTAACGTATTGATTTCTCTAGAAAATCAATTCAGACAATTATAATTTTATATAATAACTTACTGTTATTAAATGAAGTATATCTATATTTATAAAAAAACAGCTCTTACTTTGGTTTTATTTTTACCAAGTTCAATAATATCTTTCGAAGTATGTTGTAGGTATTAGCATGCTTACTGACAATTGAATGAAAAGTGTTTATATGAGAACGAATAACCGCAACATCTTCCCTTTGATTTTGTGTAAATCGACTAAAAAATAGATCTGGCAGAAATTCCGTAAGTATCGATTCAGATTCACAACAAGCTAAAAATGGTAACAGATTGTGGTCAGGTTTTAAGAACCATATATTCTTTGCCTTGTCCCACATGGAATAATCATCATGATGGCATAATATTAAACCTGTGCAATATGTCCAGTGCTTCCACTCTGATGAAACTCTACGGTTTTTTAAAAAAGAATAAAAATACATAGTACATAGTAGTACATTCATTAAAAAATGTTGCTTATATATCTTAACAGGCAATTTGTTAAGGCGTGAATCACAAATAGTTTCGATTACACAGAACCTTGCAGCAACATTGCTACAACATGTTCAACATTACAGCAATATTGCTAGTATGTTTATACAGTGTTGATGCAATATTGCTGGCTTATTTTGTGCTGTATGAGTATAAAGATGTTTTATATTTATAAAAAAGTATTACGGTTCTATTTCAGGATTCTGAAGATGGTATTCTAACGCATCTTTGGCCCTTTTTGCGCACTGAATATGTTTGAGCGCACAAGACCATTTTAATATTTCTTGTTTGAAAGATTCAGTAAACCCATTTTCCTTTATGTGTTTATCAAATAGTATTGCCATTAGTGGCTTATCCAGTAATTCTCTTAATTTTGCCTAAATGACATAAACTTTATGTTCATCCATTATAATAAGATACGTTATCCTAGATAGCGCAGATGATCGTTACGAATTCAAAAAGGATTCACATTTCAACATTTTTTCTATAATAATTTGTCCGAAATAAATTCGAAAAAAATCAATTATCTGCAAGCAGTACGCAGCACGACCGATAAATACAATTAAGTAGCGAAATTCAATTCAAATAAAAACCATACAAAGTAGAAAAAGAGCCTAAATTATGAAACTTTTTACCCAATATATTTGAATAAAATGAATTTTTGAATGTGATTTCCCAAAATAAAGTTTCTATGATGAAAGTAAGCGTTTCGATATACATCTAGAAGTATATCGATCATATAACTTATTCCTAGGGCGGAAACGTGAAAAGTGAACATTTTTTATATGTTTGTGTCCATATGTATATGTATACATATATACATTCAAATTTTCACTTTTCAAGTTTCCACCCTAGGAAAAAAGTTTCACGTTTCCGTTCTAGAAAGAAAGTTAGATAATTGATATCCTGTATCAAAAATCTGTAGTGTACTTCCTAACATGATTCATATTTTCAGTATTGGTAGTCCTGTAATCGATAAAGGATTGAAATGGATTCAGATTTTTAGAAATATGCATTCGCGTACGTTAAAACGAATCCTATTCAATCAAGAATGCATTTTTATTTCTTTATAAGAATTGCATGAAAACACATTTTTGTGCCTTCCAATCTAAAAATAATATCGGCTTTTTCTGTGCATCGTGAATACTGTTTAATTCAAAATTCTAAATACAAAATTCAATCCTTTAATCCAAATGTATTCTATTGAATTTCATTGAATCCAATTGAATTTGTATTGAATCCAACTTAATCCAAAAAGAGGTTTTTCTGTATTTAAAATATAAGCATTAGGATAGATAAAATTTTAATCCATTTTAATCCTTTCTTGTTTACTGGGAGTGCATATCTGAAGTCGACGTAAATTAGATATATTTTGTCAATAGATTTTTGTGTATTTACATTAAATATTAATTTCAGGGACATAATATTCTCGAAGGTTATATAATTGTGTTTTTTTACAGTACTATCTAAAAACTATTTCGATTTTATTGCGAATTCTTATAAATTATAACTTTTATATACCTGAAAAGAGAGACAAAGAATTAACGTTTTTAAAACAAAAATGGAACGCATGAACGCTTTTCATAATTAGACATTTTACAAAAATTAATTTTTTGGATTTTCTATTCTCTCTCTGTATGATATGTGTACACGTCTTAATATTTTTTAGACAATTGGTATCTTGAAGTTACTAGATACGCATATAACAAATTGTTTAACGTGCACAATACTAACAAAAACAGAATTGTATTTTAATTTCTCATATTTAATTTCGAAATAAAACTAATAAATTGCCGTCTGATCCATTAAGTAAGCAGTTTATTTTTACAAAATTATTTATCAATTATCGACCTAAAAGCATAATTTATGTTTAATATTTATTAAAGATGATTTCCTGTTCATTATCTAAATATTGCATTTTTTGGATATTGAAAAAATTCAATATCCGAAAAATGCAATATTTAGATAATGAACAGGAAATTATCTTTAATAAATATTAAACATAAATTATGCTTTTAGGTCGATAATTAGAAAAATGCAATATTTAGAACATAAAAGCGTAACAATACTTTGTTCTTCCGTTACTCAGTTCTTTTTGCCTTACTTCATTTCAATTTGAGGTAATAAATAAACGTAATTGAATGTTTTTATTAACATAATCATGCTACTATCCGAAATTGCTCAACAGTTGTTGGCATAAAAAGTAAAAACAATATGTTTTCGCGCTTTTGCTACTAACTGATTTTTTTCGTTAAATATAATCTGAAAAAACTCAGCAGATCGCGTAAAGATACATGGCCGGTCTCGCGCTAACAACACGCGCGCGCGTGTTCTTATCGCGAGACACTACTATATCATTAAATACGTACTGATCGTTATACCTTGATATCGTCGATGAACATAATTTCGTCTTTTGAAATTGGAAATATAGTGGACATATATTCGAACACTTTAATCATTGGATACCATACTACATAATTTGTCTCTTGTGATAAGAATTGCGTGAGGTTCCAAAATATAGATACGTCGAGCTGATTTTCCATCATCAAATGAAATGCGTCATCAATGATTTTAGCACGATTGATGACACTAATTCCTTCATATTCTCCAGCTGTTGAATTTAAATAATTTGCAATTGCGTTCCAGCCTTTTAAATCATATTTGACACGATAATATCCTGTTAATTAAAAAAAATTTTATCGTATATATTATAAAGTTTTAACGTATTGTATTATATGGATTTCATGGGACTGATGATAAGAGAAATACTTTTTCCATTTTTTTTCTATCTTATGTTAAGGGGATCCTGTAGTGAATTTGTTTTAAAAAAACAAAAAATAACCTAATTGTGGGCTAATGAGAGTCAGCGCGAGCGAAGATGCGCAATAAATCTTCACAAATAAAATTTGTTACTTCATGTGATGTGTTGATCTCATCTTTATTTGAAATATTATCATCTTGAACGTTTCGATTCTCTTTGGAATCTTCATCAGCAATTGCTTAACCAAATAAAACTTCAACGATCGTCCAATGTAGAGTCACTCGCAGGTTGCCAAAACTGTAGTGTTATCCACACGATCGCCAAATCTCATCATGAAACTTTGGATCTATTAATATTCACACTTAACTCACATAATATTTTATAATACAATCGATGTAGCTTTGTTAAAACTTCGTCTACTCTATCTGGAGTGAGAGTATGTCATATTTTGGCAACCTGCGAGTGACTCTACATCGGACGATCGTTGAAG